CCCCGCGGCGGGAGGTGGTGTCTTTGGCTTGGCCCGGCGCGGGTGGCACCGAGTGGTACCTGTCGGTGGGTCCGCGTTCGGCGGGGCTGGGGCCCATCTTCCCTGTCGTTCCCCCCCCCCAGGCCTGCGCTGTGCCGGACAGGGCGCAGGCCCGGGGAGGCCTGCGGGGCGCTTGTTACGGGGTTACGGCCCGTGCTGGGCCTTGGTGAGGGAGGAGGAAGCTGAGGCCGAGATCAGTCCTTGGAAGGAGCTTTTCTGGCATTGTCATCTCCCTTGGGGACGGGTTGAGCTGCTCTCCCGGTTCGCCTTGAAGCAGGAAGGGGCTTGGACATACAGAAGCAGGATGGGGTGGTGTTACGGGCGCTCGAGGCTGGCTAGGAGCCCCATCTTCATGGGAAGTGGTCAGAGAGCCTCAGATGTTCGTGCTCCTGTCAGGGAGATAAGAGTAAAGCATTTGTGGTGCTGAGAAGTTGCTGTGGAAAGTCTGCAACTGGTGCGACCCCGGGGATTAATTCAGTTTTAAGTTTCTGAATGGGGGGTTTGTGTGGCTGGTAAGGAGCTGGAGCCGATGGCAAGGAAGGGGACAGGAAAAGTCCGAGGGAAGTTGGGTCTGCGTTTGACGCGTGCGCGGATGCTTTTCAGCGTTTCTCAGATGGCTCCTGCAAAGAAAGGTGGTGAGAAGAAGAAGGGGCGCTCTGCCATCAACGAGGTGGTAACCAGGGAATATACTATCAACATTCACAAGCGGATCCATGGCGTGTAAGTTCTTCTTATCAGTGGAATCAGCCTGATCTAAAGTGGCGTTTGGAAGTGGGTTCGGTAGTTTAAACGGCAGAGAACGACAGTCCTTACTGGCACCGATTCTAACGCATGATGTTTTAGTCGCTTGTGCTACCGTTGTATCCCGAGGAAGCAGCTCTGTACCTACCTCTACATACTATGCTTGTCATACAGCTTTTGGGAACAAGCGAGTTTGGTTTTGTGTTTATGGACTTAATTTGAAGTTAGATCTATTTACCTCTGACCACAGGTTGTCATTGTTCCCCAAGTGAAATTTAAAGTTTAGCCCACTGTGTTAAGTTTTAGAAATTAAATACTGTATTCAAATGATTGGAGCCATGCTTATCACTAAATTGTTTGAGGTGTAAATTGAGGTATGATTTGAGTTAAACAATATTTGTAGTGTGCAGGGGAGCATAACTTTTTACCTGACAAAGTGTTGAATCTCATAGAACTAAGCACTAGTAAAGTGCTTGAGAGGACTTGCTGAGGAACTGTCTCCCTTTGATTCTCTTTGTATGTGTATGGCTACAGTCAGGTGGAAGAAAACTGTATCCAAATCGAAGCAGTTGCTAAAATTGCTGAAGTTAACTTAGACTAGGAGAGAAACTAGGCAGCGGACTATTGCAAAACCATGGGTGAGGATGGGAGACAGTGGTACCTTTAAACGGCGATAAGATGTTCAGGCCTTGCTTGTTGATTGTTTATGGCAATTCAGTCTACTTTTAATGCTGATGGTCCTGCTATACACTTTTTGGGTTATCCTCTTCTTGGGCATGAAGTACTTGGGGTGAAACACTTCTGGTTTAATGCTTGTCTCACTTGTAGTTGCTCACCTGCTCCTGATTTCTAGTACTAAATATCAACAGCAGTGTGCAAATAATACTAAATATAACCCACTGTGGGACCTCAGACACTACTGACGCTAGTTGCATGTCACAGCATGGGTATAATGTATATGGCAAAACACAGCACAGCTCTGACTTTGAGTGTAAATGCCCCATCATGCAGAATCTGTCCATACTAGGCATGAGACAAGCTCTACTTGTAAAAAAAAAAAAACAAAAAACAGTTCTGATGGTGGTATTGGTGCGGTCCTGCTAGCATGAAGAAAGTAACCATCAAATACTGTTTAGCAGAAGCTGTTATTCAGAATAGTATCCGATTTGTTCTTCTGCCATTTATTTCAATGCTGATACAGTTCTGTCAAGTTTGTATTAGTGTTGCTGCACTGCTTTTCTCATAGGCCTTTTATTCAGAGTATCTGTGAAAGCTCTGATCTCTTCAGTAACACTGTGATAAGTTTTAATGTCAACACGTTTGACTAAGACTTAAGATCTGGGACATCTTGCAGTTACAAACTTGCACTGAACTTACTCCACATAAGTATATGTGGTTTCTATTAGGCATAGACATTAAGTTAGCAGCTGCCTACCAGAGTAATGGTCTAAGCATGCTGTGATGCAACTCTTGAACAGCTGTTGAACAAAATTCTTTGGATTCTGTGTTTGGAGAATGTCAGTGGGTGAATGCTGCAGCAAGTGTCCAGTGGTGACAGTTTCCTGAAGAAATGGCTCTTGTTTGTCCTAGGGGCTTCAAGAAACGGGCACCACGTGCTCTCAAGGAAATCCGTAAATTTGCGATGAAGGAAATGGGTACTCCTGACGTTCGCATTGACACCAGATTGAACAAAGCAGTCTGGGCTAAAGGGATAAGGTAGGTTTCTCCAGCTTTCCTTTCTGGGCGAGGGAGAACCTTGTAGCTGTGTATGTGTAGGTGCAGGACTTGGAGGGGTAGAAAAATTGGTATATTTCTTGCATGCAGTGTTTGTACTTTCTTTGCAAATGCTTCCTTTCTTACAGTGTGTGTGCCAAAGTAATCTTTCTGACACCTCTTATCTTCTGGTCAACCCCCTCGGCGTATTTGTAGCAAAGCTTCAGAAAACTATGGAATTGAAATAACTTCATTCTACCTCTAATAAAAATAAAGCAAAGGAAAGAAGGAATGTGGGCTTGGAGGCAGAGGGCGAGAAAAGATTGGGATATTGTAATGCTCTAGTACCCCAATCCCTATTGCAGCAGACAGTTTTTAGAAACATGGCTTTTTAGCAATACCTACAGATCCGGGTTAGGTACCTGGGATCCAGACAGGATTAGGTTTTGAAGCATGCTGGATTGTTAAATGCTACACAGGGAAATAATGGCATGTTTTAAATAGGGCCATTAATCTTGTCTTGAAAGTACAAATGGTAAGTAGTTTGGGGGGCAAAAAATTGCAACTGTTAAATCACTGCTACAGAGGCAGCTGATTTGGCATTTGATGTGTGAAGATGGTCCAAAAGAACTCCTGTGAGGAGTGGGACCTCTTAAATCATAATAAAAGGTTAACTGGTAGAAATTAATACTGTGTGTGATACACTGGATACACACGAACCCTTTGTCTTGCGGCAATTTTAGACTTAGATTCCTAAGTCTAACCTATGACATACTTAAAATCCGTTACCTGTAATTGTGTGCTTAGGCCAACCCTTCCTTCAAAAACAGAGTGGGAAGATGGCACTAAGATCTTTCTGGGCAGGGGTTCCTCTGTCCTTCCTGTTGAGCTGTTCCAGTTCTGGTGCAATGAAGAAGTAGCAGTTTAGCCAGGTGACTGCATAACTTCAGAGTTTAATAGCGAGGCTGCCAACCAAGACTTCTTTATATTAACCGGTAGAGGTGTGGTCTGTGGAGCAAGGAGTCATCACATCTATCTTTCCAGCTGAGTTTAACTGCAGTTTTCACTAGTTAGAATAGAGAATGTATGCAAAGTAAAATACCTTCATCTGAAAGGATCAGGAGAGGCTAAAATCACTGTGTCAGCTAGTATGATAGTCAGTGATCTAAGTAGCAAAAAATGCTTTTTCACTTGATTCAAGAAAGGAGTAAATCGAAGAAGGTTCGTGTCTTAATAACCACATCCATCTGATTTAGTAAGTATACTCTTGAGAACATACAGCAAGGGAGAAGTTCCTTCACATATTCTGTGCAGCAAGGTACTCTTGAGGAGTAGTTTCCCAAAATCCTGAATTCATTTTGAGGTGGGAGGCTATTTGAAAGAATGATGTAAACAAACAATTTTGTGCCTTCCCTCAGCAGCATCTTTTGGCCAGTAGTAGGGGAGGATGCTAAGCTGTGACTTGCCTGTTACAGACAAAATCATCTTAAGTGATTTAGTCATGGTTCCGTGGGCTTTGTGAAGAAGGAATGTTGGATCGGTTGTACACCCACGAGGAAGATCTTGATTCAGGTCTGATGCTCACTAGAATTTCCACTTGACTTCTGGCATGTTTGGGCACAGATTGGGCAGTACTGTGACTCTTGCTGACAGGGGCCTCAGTCTTTCAGAACAGACTCCTGGGTTTTTTTCCTTACAGTTTTCTGTTCTAGTAAGAAATGCTCTTTAGTAACAGCTGCTGGCTGATCATATACTCATGCTGTGCTTCTTGTTCTTCAAAGTATATCTCCTGGATCAGTAGTGGACTTGTGATGCACTTCTGACTTTATGCTCCCACTGGAATATGGATTCATCTTACTCAAGGCTCATTTAAATTTTACCTGCTCACTTTAACAAAACTAAAAAAAAAAAACAGAAAAAAGCTCCTGTAAGGCAAACAGTACAATCTCTAAGGAACAGGATTTCACTCTTGCTATTATGATGCTGAGATAGAAACACAATTGATTCATCATGTCTTTGCACAAATAGGCTAAGCTTAAGAATTTAAATCTGTGGGACCAGATGGGTTACACCCAAGGGTGCTGAAAGAGTTGGCAGATGTGCTTGCCAAGCCACTTTCCATGATTTACCTGAAATCATGGCTAACTGGGGAGGTACCATTGGACTGGAGGGTGGCAAATGTGACACTCATCTACAAGAAAGGTAGAAAGGAGGATCCAGGAAACTATTGACCTGTCTGACCTTGGTGCCAGGGAAGGTCATGGAGCAGGTCATCTCGGGTGCCATTAAAAGTCATAAAATGGACAACCAGGGGATCAGGCCCAGTCAGCATGGGCTTATGAAAGGCAGGTCCTGCTTGACAAATCTGATCTCCTTCTATGACAGGGCGACCTGCTTATTGGATAAGGGAAAGGCTGTGGATGTTGTTTACCTTGACTTTAGTAAGGCCTTTGACACCGTTTCCCACAGCATTCTGGCAAAACTGGCTGCTCATGGCTTGGATGGGCACACACTTTGCTGGGTAAAAAACTGTCTGGATGGCCGGGCCCAAAGAGCTATGGTGAACGGAGTTGGCGGCCGGTCACAAGTGGTGTCCCCCGGGGCTCGGTTTTGGGGCCACTCCTGTTTAACATTTTTATTGATGATCTAGACGAGGGGATCGAGTGCACCCTCAGTCAGTTTGCAGATGACACCCAGTTGGGTGGGAGTGTTGATGTGCTCGAGGGTAGGGAGGCTCTGCAGAGAGACCTGGACAGGCTGGAGCCATGGGCTGAGGCCAACTGGAGGAGTTTCCCTAAGGCCAAATGCCGGGGGCTGCCCTTGGGCCACAACAACCCCCAGCAGCGCTACAGGCTTGGGGAGGAGTGGCTGGAGAGCTGCCAGTCAGAGAGGGACCTGGGGGGGTTGATTGACAGCCGGCTGAACAGGAGCCAGCAGTGTGCCCAGGTGGCCAAGAAGGCCAATAGCATCTTGGCTTGTGTCAGCAGTAGCGTGGCCAGCAGGGACAGGGAAGGGATCTGACCCCTGTACTCGGCACTGGTGAGGCCGCCCCTCGATTCCTGTGTTCAGTTTTGGGCCCCTCACTACAAAAAGGACATTGAATGACTCGAGCGTGTCCAGAGACGGGCAATGGAGCTGGTGCAGGGTCTGGAGCACAGGTCGTACGGGGAGCGGCTGAGGGAACTGGGGGTGTTTAGTCTGGAGAAGAGGAGGCTGAGGGGAGACCTCATCGCCCTCTACAGCTGCCTGAAAGGAGGTTGCAGAGAGCTGGGGATGAGTCTCTTTAACCAAGTAACAAGTGATAGGACAAGAGGGAATGGCCTCAAATTGCGCCAGGGAAGGTTTAGACTGGATATTAGGAAGCATTTCTTTCCAGAACAGGTTGGTAGGTGTTGGAATGGGCTGCCCAGGGCACTGGTGGAGTCCCCATCCCTGGAGGTGTTTAAGAGTTGGATTGACATAGTGCTGAGGGATATGATGTAGTTGGAAACTGTTAATGTTGCATTAATGGTTGGACTGGGTGACCTTCAAGGTCTTTTCCAACCTAGATGATTCTGTGATTCTGTAATTTGAGAGGGGATAGTAACCACGGAGCAAAGAAATTTTATTTTCTTTTCTATGAATTAGCAGGTTTCAGTACATATTTTACTGAAAATTAATCTGTTGTCTTTGTTTTAGGAATGTTCCTTACCGTATCCGTGTGCGTTTGTCCAGAAAGCGCAATGAGGATGAAGATTCACCAAACAAGCTATACACACTGGTTACCTATGTACCAGTGACAACGTTCAAAGGTAAGGTTGGATGCCGTCTTTCTTCCTCCATGCCGTTTTTCTGAACAAGTAGTGAAGTGGGACAGCTCCTCCTGTAAGGCAAAATTCAGATGAAAAGCATGCTGAAGGGGTCAAAGTGCTGGCTTATGCTAGCTCTGCTGTAGAGAACAGGGCTGCTAGCTTGCTTGATCAGCATTAAAAAGTAAATACATAATTTCATGACATAATCGTGTAAATTTTGAGAGAATAAAAAACACTGGCCATAGTTGTTAGGGTAATTTTAAGGTTTGTTTTCCCATATAAAGTACATCCTCTGATGTCAAATGCTGAAGCAGGTTGAGTCTTTCTGCTTATCATCTGAGAAGTATCTTATTTGCAGAATTGATTTAACATGACGTTTTTAACATTTGGTAAATACTTGCCTATATAGTGTGATCTTCCAGTAGATCAGCAAACTGGCTTTGAAACTGTAGGTGCACTTGTGAAAACTTGCATAGACATAAAGGGAATTGTCCTAGTAATAGGTGGTGATACAATTTCTTGTTTTGCAGGTCTACAGACAGTGAATGTGGATGAAAATTAAACTAATTTTCATTACAATAAAAGGATAAAAAGAAAGTTTATTCCTAAATTGGTTGTTTTTATTGTCCGGTCTCTTCAGGATCTCATCTGTGAAGCATTGTGTTGAACAGGTGACATCTTAAAGCAGCTTGCTTTCTTTGGCCTTGCACATAATTCTGTAATTTTCTTAATTAAAGATAGACTTTGGTTACACATGAATGAAGTAAGGAGGAGATGAGAATGTTCCTGTGTGCGTGGCAAAGTCCTAGTGGTTTTGTTTTGTTCTTATGGGAATAAAGAGCCACGACACAGTATTTTAATTTAAGGCCAAGTTTGTTTAAAAGACAAACCAAAGCAACAACAACAAACCCTAACCCCCCAAACTCTGAGATTGGTGCTTCATGTATGTAATCTGTGGATAAAGTTAACTCCCTGCATTTGGTCCCCACTGGTCTCCTGGGCAGAATCAGGAAGTGTGTCCCAAGTAGGTCTGTGCACTACACTGAAATGTGGCGTTCTGACCAGTGAATTCTGAGTTCACTAGCTCAGGGAATTTGTTTAATGAAAGTAGGACTAAAGGCAGTTATCTTCCACAAAATCAATAAATACTGTCCATGCAAGTCTGGTACAAAAAGGGTTTATTGAAAAGTGCATGTTTTCACAGACCAACATCAGAAGCACAGTCCATGTACACTTAACGTTTCAGCAAGACATACAAATTGGAATACAATCAAATATATTAAAATAGTTTCAACTACCAGCATTGAAACAGTTTTCAGTATTAGTGCAAAAAAGGCAACCCAAACTGCAGACAGTAGCCGAAAAAAAAAAAAAAAAAAAAAAAAAAAAGGACAACTGGAGCCAGCCTGTGCTCTCCCTCCCGGTGCGGAAGAGGGCTTCAGTGTCTTCACACTGTAGACAGATGTTTCCTTTTACATTCAAAACAAGAACATAATTAATAAATCAATGGCACAAAACAAACCTACACACCCTTTAGCTTTTAAAGCTCTTCAACTGAGAACCACAGACGAACAAACTGTTTATCAAAAGTCCACTGCTAATTGAAAGCCTTTTACAGTTTGTGCTTTGGCATCATTTCAGTGCATTTCATTTTTGACAGGTTTGCTGCTACTGTGTGTTTAATTTTGTATGTTCACCCCGTGGCTGGCAGCTCATTCCGTTTGTTTTGAGACTATACTGATGTAACTTTGCATTCTCAAGTTTTGGCTTCAGTTCTACGGGTTTCTCAAAGAAGTTAACTAATGACTGTTCAGTCAAGAGGGATGCTAAAATATGTTCAAAAGAGACAGTCCAGTCCCCTTCAGTTACAGGTGAAGGTTGAGAGTCTTTGTGAGGGGTCTTCACAGTGTCAGTAAAAACAGCATCCTGGTCTGAAGCAGAGGCCTCAGGCTGCAAGTCCTCAGTGAACTCTTCTGAGCCGCTCCCCAGGCTGATGCTCCTTTGTCCTACTTCTCCAATCTGAAGCAACAGTGTGGTCACAGTGGCGATGGCCTGGTACAAATCATTCTCCTCTGGATCTTCATGGAACATGCTGTACAAGGTTTTGCAGAACTGAATGAACTCCCTCTGTAAAGGATGAAAAACCCAAGTCAAACTATAAGTGTAGGAGTTAGGCAAGAGCACCGTACTGGAAAGAAAGGCAAAATGCTGGGTATGCTGAGTATGTTTATATGCTCATTTATAGCTTCTGCCTGCTTGTAAAAAAAAAAAAAAGCTAGCTCTGAGATTTCAGCCCTCACTGGGTTGAAAATTTGGTGCTGCAAATCACAAAGGGAAGAGAGCAGAAAATTATTTTGCTGCCTTGATGAAGGAGATCAGGACCTCCCAGATTACCAAAGGGCAAGGGATACAAGCATGGCTGTTACACAGACAGCAACCAAAGTAGCTGTCCACAGGCCGGCAAGCAACTTCCCTTCTCATGTTTCTCTCCCATCCTTCCCCAGCTCTTCTACTAATAAAATTCAGACATCTTCCCTGCCCAACCCCTTTCTCTCCTTCCTTCCCTTGCTCACCCATCACAGATGATTATCAGGCTAGAGAAGATGTTTCCATATCCTATTATGGTATATGTGAGCTCTTGAGTTTCATACAGTTATGGGATGGCTAAATCATGGTGAACAGGAGTGCAGGAAGTCCAGTCAAGTGATGCCTTTATGAGGGATGATGCAGCTCTCCTGAGCTGACAGGTTAGGTCACTTCAAACTTTCTTGAGCAACACCCACACAGAAGGATTCTGGGTGTAGTCCCATCTTTAAATGTCTGTGCATTTGTTTTACTAATATGGGACCCTAAGCTCCACTGGCATTAGGGAGGAGATGGTAAGATGAGAACCTTCAGCTGTATTACTTCATGCAGTACTAGCCAGCACTTGGCTAAGACAGGGCAAGTCCCAGTTGGGTGATAGACTAAGAAAGAAGTTACCGGTTTGGTGAAGAGGAGGTCAGAGAAGACAGAACAGCAACATATATTCTCAGGAATTCTTTGGGCTTAGGAGGAGGCTTTTTTCCAGCCTGTTATGCTGCAGGTGAGGGTGAGTTTGAAATTCTTTCTATTCACCAACCAGTCTGAGGAGACGGAGTTGCTGGAAAGTAGCTCTTTAAACACCTGCTCACTGGATCAGAAGAGCCCAGTTCTCGATACCTGAAGGACTGAATCTTAAGCTGAGGCTGAAGTTACACTTTCTCAGAAAAAGCTAAACTGTTGTACCCAGTCATTTAATTTTCATGTACTCCTTTAAAAATAGACTACAGCCTTTAATGTATATACCTGGCTCATTTTCGGCAATTCTTTTTCCGTTTTAGAATCCTTTTCTTTGGCTAGATCCTTCAGCATCTGCTTCAACTGCTTTTGGTAATCTACTGCATCACCTTTTTTGGAGCAGACACAAAAAGGAGAATTAGTTTTCAAGTCACGACTAAACTGACATTTCAAAATAAATGCCAGAGAGCAGAGATAATAGAGAAGGGTTAACAAATGGGAAGTTGGTTATCTCAATATGCACACATATCAGAGAACCATACTGGACATACCATTTGATTTTCCAATAACTAGCGGTCTTGAAGTTGACAGTAAAGGATTCCTTAATGGTGACTGGCTGTCTCGTTCATTTTCTGTGAGAGCTATCCAAAAAAGTGATAAATGTAATGATTAATCCTTCGAATGCTTGGTTACTTATGCTTTTAAAACTTACATATTTGAAGAAAGCAAAATAATTGGGCAAAGATGTTTTTAAACAGTACTTCATTAAATCATACTGTAAAATTATGTTCACGTAAGTAACACTAGTGCTGCAGTGAGAGAGTCAGAGTTTGCCAGGAGTGGCACGTTTAATTAAAAACTTTACACAGAGAAACTACCACAAAATTTTGTCACCTAATCAAAACTGGATCAGGATGTGATAAGGAGACCTCTACTACACACAGGAGCACAAGCCATCCAAAAATGTTATTTCAGTTCACATTTTGTCTAGCCATATAATTGGCTGCGAAAGATCTCTGAATGCAGCAGATGTGAGCCTTGACATGGTATATCTATAAATTTTATTCAATAATGTTTTGACTGGAGTAATTTTTTAAAAGTGAGCATAATTACAAATGCGCATCCTGTATGCTCCCAGCTGAAGGATGCACGATAGGGTTCTTCATTAAGCAGCCTTTTCCCAAAAGCCTTAAGCAAGAGATTTCTGGAGAAACAGGTATTCATTCCTCTTCTGATTTCTTACCCGGTGGGATATGCAGCTTATATAGTAGCTTTATCTTTTCATTCATTTCTCCATTATACATAACATCTGCAAGGAAAAAAAAAAGAACAAGAAGGAAGTGGACCTGAACATTTACTCCCACGGTTTAAAATATATCAAGCATCTCTCTGTGCACAAAAGATAATTGTTTGCATGGACAATACATGAAAACATATGGCCAGTATATTACACTGAAATATTTTAAGTTGTGCCTGTCAATGAGGAACAGCAGGTGACAGCCATCTGGTTTGGTCTTTGTTCTTGAAAATAGATTGGGAGTAAATAACACTATGGAGCCAAGGAAGATGACAGGGAATATAGCAAAGGCTGTTTGCTGCCACAGATGAACAGGAATGTGAGAGGGGGGAGACAGAAAACTCTCTTTGGGACCATCATATTCTTAGTATTTCTCCCCTTCAGCCCCTACTGCTGTTCTATAGAATAATCCCAAAGGAGATAGGTACTTTGCATGTAATATAATTCATATTTTCAATGACCAGTAGAAATGAGATTCTGAACTTCTAAATGCACTGAAATACTGTGAAGAACTTTTTTTTAAAAAAAACTTGTATCCCTCTAAGAATCAAAATCAAATTATAATATAATACAGGATCCCTTAGTTCACATAAAACAATTCTAAAAAGCTTAAGTGGCAAGAATATGATTTTTACTGAAGCTTTCAATGTTGATTCAGTTTTTTTCACTTGGGGTCAGGTAACAGTTGAGATGTGGCACTTTCTTTAGCCAGATTTTGAGATGGGCAGCATCACCTTATTAGAACAGCTGGTGGCCTCAAGACCAGCCCCAGCACAGCTCTCAGTCCCTGCTGGCTAGGGTTTTTTTGTTCTGCTTACTGTCGACATATAAGGCAAGCAGGAGTCAGCTGTGTAAGATTAAGTCTTCAAGAAACAGTTACAAAGAGATATACTAAGATTTCAGAGCTATATTGAGAGCAACAGTCTGGTAGAGAGGATTTCCTAGCATTCCATGCATACCTAAGTATAATTTTAATTCATAAAATATTTTCAACAAAATTACTATTGTCCAAGAAACCTAATATTTTAATACAATATTCAATCATGTCCTTAGGCTGTCTTTTAAATCTAATTTGACTTCAGGTGATTGAAACACACAAACTTAATAAAGGTCCCTTGTTAGGCTAATTACAAGCCTAAAAAAAAAATTTGCCCGCATCCTCCCCTGCCAGTTGTATGGCATTTTAACATCTGTGTCTAACCCGTGTGCCACCCCCGCCGGCTCTGCCCATCTTCCACCCCGCAGGGGAGCCAATACCTAAGCAGC